CTTTGTTTTGTGTTAAGCCGTCGCAAATACCTTCTCATGTCGTTTACTTTTATCTTGACAGTAGTGTGTGTGTTAAACTTATTTGATATAAATTATTATTATTGAATTTTATCATATTTAATACTGTTTTATTGGTGTTGTTGCGCGAGTGTCAGACGCGATGGGCCCTAGTTTACAATGGAGTTGTAATGAATTTGTTCGAACGATCATTTTCATTTGGAGTTCTCATGTTTGATTGATGATTTCCTGCCTTTCAACTGAATCTAATTCAGTTATAAATTAGCGAGCCTAATACGGTCGTTACACCTTTTAGATGCTGACCGTCGACTTTACATATTATCTATAGAAGAAAATTGTGTTCTTTTCACAATGTAAATTACATGTTAAATTACTACAAGTTTTAGTCAACATGTAATAGTTTATCTCAATAACTTTTAAGAATGATATTTTTAAAATGTGTTATACATTATGAAAATATATTCTAAAAATAAAAATATTGTGAGAACCAAGACTGTCTTAATTAAACGATTCAGCGTTCTTGGTAAATGAACACAGTCGAGAAGAAGTCATCTAACTTGGAAAAGGACTGTTTTATCGCCGAGTCATGTTTCGCCGGAAAAATTCGAATGTCGAACCGAGTGGAAAGACTTGTGTTTGAAATAAAAAACAAAGAGAGAGGGATACAGTGGATCGAATAGGCTTGCATATTAAAAATAATGATAGAGATTAAATGGCTCAGTTTTTCATTTCTTATTTCAGTGATTTCACAGTAAACAAACATTTTTAAATAAAATGCCTGTTGTTTTGAAAATATTTCTGATGAACAGTGACTAATATAACACAAAATTATAATAAACTCACATCTATATCTGTATTTGCAGAAATTTCTAGAGAAAATTTAAAATATTGACTAATTTTATCATTGGAATTAAATACATGAACACGCATATCATTGAAGTTGCCAGGCTACAAATATGTGTTCTTTTTTTTTAAATCAATCTAGGTTATACTAGAATTACATTTGATTGAAATATTTACCTTAATGTTATAATCAATTAAAGTTCAATTAAAATTAATGAATAATCCCCATGGTTCAATAAAATCTTTACGATGTCTATATAAGGGTAATATAAAGGTTTATTTTTTTTAATATTCTTCATTGCCCTCTAAATGAATTGTGTACATTAATAAAAGTACTGTTGTATTATAGTCAATAGCTGTCATTTACTATAGATTGTTATACACTTCTATTTAATACTTTTAAGAATTACCTTTTAATTTAATAGAAGTAAAAATGAAAATAACTTCTATTATAATTACAGAATTTTTATGTTTTGACATTGATAAATGTATTGCTTGAAAAATTGGGGTCATATTTGAAAATATTTACTATAAAACGTATTATTATTTTAACTTTTAAAGTCTAGAGTAGTTTTGTGTAAATTAAATTTCTTGTATGTTGAGAAACTATTTTGATAAATGAAATACCATTCGGACTTGTGAACTGCGTTTTATTACTAAAACTAGTGTATCCTTGACGTTTAAATAAATTAATGAATAAATAAATAATGAAGATAGAGGTTGATATAAGTCAGTATATCTTAATGTTAGAGAAAAAAAAGAGCCGGATAGATATTATACAGTAGATTATGAATAATGTACATGTATTGAATCAATCTAAATAGAAAATGTGCGTGAACTCCAAGGCTCTAAGGCTATTGATTATTTAAACTCAGGTGTATAAAGTTGACCTCGAGTCTTATAATTTTATAGGAATGATATTATTAGCATGAGATATAGTTTCAAGCAAACAGTATAACAGATTTATTAGAAAAACTTTTCAAGTTATGCTATAAACGTCTGGTCATTTGTCGAAAAAATTCATTATTTGGAAAACTGTAGACAACGTATTCTACTTTTAAATAATATTTCTTATATTGTTATTAATGTCTTATTGATATTAATAATATGTAAATAAATATAACTGACGTGTCTAAGAAAGACGTGTATTTTGCATTATTCACCGTGTAACCCGTTAAAGAAAAGTCGTAATAAATAATATTACATACGTTTTATGACGTGCAAACTCAGAAAAATAATCTAAATCCTTCAATCATAAAACAAACGTCTTCGGGGGCATTGAACTCGGTCAAATTTTTAAAAAGTTACCGCCTGTTCAAATTCATGTATGGATATCATTGAATTTGAATTTTTCAACAGATATTTTGAATTTTAATAATATGATTTTGAGATGAAAACAGAAATGGTAGCAGCTATAGAATTTAATTAAAATCTAAAGTGATATCTGATTGGCACTTAATAGTAAAACATGCTTTTCTCCCTGTGTATGTGTTTCAGTATTAGATGCATAACTTGGCAGGATAAAGTGATTTTACGCAAATGTCTTTTTTGCGTCTGAGCCAAAGGCGATAAATCGTACGGTTGAAAAGACAAACATTTTTAAACCGACATAATATTAACCCATTTACTCAAACGGATATTCATAATAATAATAATATATAAAAACAGGCAGGGTTGATATATTATAATGTTATTACACGGTGGCCGTCAAGACGAAAATATATTACCCTAATCGTTATTATCTTCCAATTACTTTGTGTAACATACAAAATATAAAATAATGCCATACCAAAGCCGAACTGATTTACAATAACTACAGTAATAAATTATATTATTAAAGTTTTACTTTTTAGGGGTTAATTTAAATTTCATTTTATGTGCAGGTCGGTTTATTGTTCTGTTGATTCTAAAAATAATAGTTATGTACTGTTTCTATTAAATTATAAATTATCTTGTCCATTGCTAGTGGGTATTGCTTTGCAGACGCGCAGAACAACGAAAACGTCATTAAAAGTAAAACTGAGTAAACATACACACAATTAAACGTGAGGATCGACTATCGTTTAACCAGTTTACAATGCATTGGTCGTCTGTTTTAATGATAGTGAACAATAGACCATGAATATTTCTGGAAAACTTGTGCAACATACTTTATTACCCAATAAAAAAATACATGTTTTGCATTTTCATTAAAAAGAAAAAATACCTTTATTCCCTTTCCACATAAATGTATTAAAAGTTTTTTTATGACCCCCGTCCACCTTGTGTCATCATTAAGTTGACCATATATTTTTTGTCCGCACATTTTAGGCTTAAGTTTTTTCTGACTAAGTGTACTTTAACTAAAAGCTACGCATAAGGATGACTGTGGTCACAAGAACACTTTAGATGTATCGCGAATACTTAATGAAGCGTAATGGTGGGGACGTTAAAAAAACAAGGAAAGGACCTAATTTTTCTTAGCCTAGTTATATTTAGTTAATAAAATTCTTTTCCATAGTGTTTTCTATATTTATTATTCTATGTGCTCTATAAAAGAAAGAAGTTATTATTGTTATTTTCAAACAAAAATATTATGATTTTACAATATAAAGACACAATTACAGTTTTTAAATTTGAATATGAATGCCAGTAACTATAAAACCAACAGTACAACCCGACAAAATTGAAAAAATAATGCCGACATGATATTTTATATATGATATGTTTCGATCAAAATGTATTTATTTGAGATGGGACAATAGCACGTGAATTACAAACGACCGAAGCGAACATCATCAATTATTAGTAACGTTTTATATTAAATTCTCTAGTAATCTTGTGTTTAACGAATAAGAATAATATGTCTGGAATAGAGAAATATTTGTTCTTTAGATCTTACCCCACCCTTTTTTTCAAAGAAGGTTGATGAGAAGGGAGTGAGCTCTTTATTGTTGTGTTCGGCATAAAATAAATAAATTGAAGACGGTTATGGCGGACCTCAGACAATGAAGTCGGGTAATAAATGAGACAATTGTAAATAAAAAGAAAATAATATATGAATATAAATATAAATTGTGGTATTTACAATTGCAGAGCTTATTTTGACATTTATTTGATGTGGAAAACTAGATATTATATTTAATATTTTTGGTGATTATTGTTTTTCTTCGGAAAAAAATGAAAAATAGCTTATACTTATTTGACCCCACGATTTATAGTTTTGACGAGGAAAAACTACACGTGTCCGTATTGATAAATTATTTTTGGGTGGTCTTAAGAGTAATGAATACTTTTGATGGACACTGGAGTGCATGAAGGACACAATAATAGTGATTATGATTAGGCAATATTCGTTTGTTGAACAACGCCCCAAGCTAAAAACTATAGTGACCAAGCTTGATAATTATTAAGAAAAAATCACGTAAAATATAGGCGATTAATGGGGTTGTTCATACACTGTAATTATTTTGTAATTGAACAAGAATGTGAAGTGGAATTATAAACTTAAGTAGCAGTTCTGATGGATCTCAAAGATAATTTTCATGAAACGTATAATTAGTTTTTCTGTAATAAAACTTAATATTAAAATAGAATTAAATATGTAAAAAATGAAGTACAATTTTTAACTTTAATACCCTTAACTTGTACAACTAATAAAATATTGTTGTTAATGTAAAATAAACTATAAAAACATTTTGTTCTATGAAATTCATGGAATCAGTTACAAGTAGAAAAAAATTATGAATTTTTATTTTACATGGATTTAACTACAAATAGTACTTTAATGTTCAATTTTTACAATAAATGTTAATATATTATTAGTGAAGTACTTTGATTTAACTAACGTGTCTATTATTTAGATGATATTTTATTGGATTAATTGCTACGTAACAGTTAGATTCAGAAAAAAAATACTAATTTATTGTTATATTATCTGATAGTTGAAATTTATTTGCTTAAGTTGTTAAGTTACATATGTGAGATATTTTGTGTCTATAATTGGAATATTTTTATTTCATCGATAAAAAAAATATAAATTCTCATGATTTCGAGACTATAAAATGTATAATACTATTTTCTTTGCACGAAATACACTATTTAATAAATTTAATAATAATTTCTAATGTATATTGTACAATTTTATTTTTAATTTACAGAGAAGCGACAATCTGGACTTATCACTTTCGGTTGCTCACAATATGCATAACAACAACAACAACCATTACATGAGCATGGGAGAACATGTAAGTTATAATTATTGTATTAATATATATATTATAAGTAGGATTGTGTATTACAAAAATCCTACAAAACATGTTTAATTTCTACATTTCTATTATTTTTATTATTATTCGAAAGCACTTATTTCAAAGTATTTTAATTTCATAGATTTTTAAACACATTTTGTGTTTAAACTATAAAATGATAATAATAAACCGGAACTCTAAATAAAAGTGTTTTAGTTCGATTATTTTATTCGCCTTTCTATATGCTCAACTTTTAAACATTTAACATAATCTGTAGGTAGACATTCAATTAGAAAATAATCATTTTTTTAAAATGTAAACACCAGTGTGATATTCACCTTATGCGTGTATTTGTGGTATTAACTATAAAGAAAAGTCGTAAATTATAATAGAATATCTAATAAAATGGTAAAGAAAAAGAGGAAAATAGTGTTACTTTGGCCACGACTATAGATTGTTGTTCAATGGAGAACAGTGGAGGAATGAGAAAGAGGTTTTGAATTATTCAACAAATAACAGGCTATTGTATGTTTATTCTTCTGCCTTCTCATATATTTATCTGCCGATCTTTTTGCGATTTGTATATTTTTATAAACAAATGTAAAATAATAAGTTCATCATACGTAAATCAATAGTTCATAATGTAAATATATATGCAAATTAATCATAGTTTTTATCTTTTGTAATTTTGATTTAGTTTTATCAGTATAATAGCTGTAATTAAAACGAACTTCGATTTAATCACATTATTATTGTTGTTTTTCAAATATCTCAGCTACACTGTAATTAGGATACTAGAAAGGCTTTACAATAACTGGCTTTGGATTTAAATTCTTTTTTTACCACTTTGACTTTATCTGTTTTAGAATTTTTATTATTACATTCCTTCATCGTATAAATGCAATAGTAATATTATGAGAAAAATACTATAATCGTGCCCACTGAGATAATATACAATACAGTACCGTTTCCCTTACCCACCTTCCAGTATTCAAGATAAATATGATTTTATTTATTCAATTGCGAAGAATAAACAACTCGTTTATCTTTGTAGAAACATTAATCCTGCAAAGCGTTATCTCAGTAGTATACGTCAAAGAGTTGGGGCAAAAGTAAATTGAAAAGTAAAACACATATAGACACTCAAAATGGTTTATAAACGCTTAACTTTTTTGTAACTTATAAATAAGTATGCTGTATAACCTATTCTCGAGATTGGTTGATTAGGTACTACATTGTTGTTAAGGCGATTCATTATTTTCTGTGAGTGAAGATTTATGTAAATGAATTACCATAGAGACAATAATTTAAAAGTAAAATTTAAGTCTGGTAGACAATACAGAACTACCAGAATTGTATACTATAAATTATTGTATAAAATAGAGTAGTATGAATACAATGTAAATTCTTTAACATCTAATTTTGTTGTTAGATACATTAGGAGATCATTTTTAATGGAAAAAAGTAATGTGGATTTCGAATAAACTGACGTAGAGATAAAATCAGATTAAATTGTTTAAAAAAGATTTATTAATTCTCATTTATTCAAATTATTATTACGTTTTTGAAGTGGAATCTCTCTTCGGTTAATCAACTTATTAAATATTTACTACTCGAATTTTAACGAACCTGTTCAAAAGTATGGAAACCAGTTTTTCATTCATTCATCAAAAATTTTTTAAAGTTGTTATTATTTAATAGTTTGACATCATTATCTTATCTTAAACTCATGAAACATTTTTAATTATTTTATTTTGTATATTGTATTTTATAAATTTATTATTCGAACGTTATATTAAGTGAAATTTTGTACAATTTTGGATGCTTAGGTAAATTATATCTAAGCGTCATTAATATAGTAATTATTATAATGGATACATTAATACTTTCATAATTAACAAATCTAAATAATTAATATTTGGGTGATACATTACTTATAATAATAAACTCAACATTTAGAATAAATAATTTCAATTTATCGTACATATTTCTTATCGATAAATTTTCCTTAAAAGATAATAAAAAACTGAACATTTTAAAATTTAAAATAGTTTGTGATAATGATATTATGGGTCGTAATACACAGTAGTAATGAGTATCAACTGTATGTAGCATGTAATGACGTAATGTTGCTACTTGTTTAGCATATTATTAAAAACTAAAAAAATAAAATTACCTATACAATGTAATAATGACGTAGCGCAGTGAATACATATTTGGCCAACGCCATTGACCTTCGGTAGATCTTTGCTACTAAATAATACATAGTAGTTGCTATTATTAATGAACACAACGTACATTGCTATTTTTGAAAAATATGATTTATCAGTATTTTATCACCATTCGTAATTATAATTAGAACTTAGTAATAAGTAATTTCGGTGTGATAAGTATGAGGAGAATTTTTAAACGAATTTCTGAACTCGAGACAGGACGGCGACCCACGTCGAGTTTTTCGCGCGTCAATTGCCTTCTGCCACTCATTTTTTTCAATTTCATTTGAGAGGCATTCGTAATAATATTATTATTTATTACTAGTACCGATGAAGAATTACAGCTTCATTTTGTTGGTAATCGACTACGCTCGGAGTATAATAAAACAATTTTGCCAAATTCAAATAGTGACTTTGATTTCGTATAAATCCAAGAAACGTTTGACAAACAATATTCTAATAGTTTTTTTTGTCGCCAAGTCGTTTGCATGGTTTTCATCTCAAGGAGGTAATTCAAAACGAAAAAATAAAAAGCATTTGCCTTAAATGTGACGTGAAAAGTTTCATTTTATTTAGCATTTTATTTTACGTTTAACGTTCTAACATAATTTTAGATTTATTATTTATGAATATTTTCTATAGAAAAGAAAATTAAATTGTCTTCATTCAGAATACAATTTTCTGAGAAAATACAAAACAAGTTTTGTTAAAAAGTTTTTAAACTAACAAATGAAAAAGGTGTTCTCTTCAACGGAAATTCTAAATGTAAAAAACAAATCGATATTTTCCCTAACGTAACTTTTCAAGATAATATTAATAACATTACATTCCATTTGCTGTGTAAAATGTACGTCATAGCGACCGTTACTAAGACTATTAAATGTCTAGTTGATTAAACAAAAATTGATTTCATTGTACGTCAAAATAAAATTAAAAATATCTTTTAATTTTCTAAAGAATGAATTGAAAAATTTATTGCTGCCATGTTGCCCGTAAATCATTATTGCCCCCAATGATATTCTTTTAATGGCATTTTCTACTTCAATTATTGTTCCGATAGGGCTATTTTTAACAAATATTAACTATTACGTTTTTATCCAACTAAATTAATTGCTACCCATGTTTAAAAGTATTATTTTATTCGAATAGGTATAGAAATGAAAATAATCCTTAAAACAAGAGTACTATAACAGTTTATTATGTTAAATGTACTCCGTTTGAAAACGAAATGGAGGTAGTATTATTATAGCAGTTTTGTTGTAATTATAGTAAAACAAATTCAGAAATAAGAAAAAAAGCAAATAGATATTTAAAATAAAAGACTATAATGAAAAGGAATTTATATGAGCTTGGAGCGCTGATTACAAATAGAAGATTGAAATAAATTGTTATTGGCTCAGTGGTTATGATTGGTTTTAATTAAGAATATATTTTTCTGTAATAGTGAAACGTTTATTAACTAGATGGAAGTTTTGTATGGTGTACATCTTATACATTTTGTTTGGCTATTAATGAAAAATGACACGTTGTATTATTTTGGGCGCATTTAGAAATTCATAATGGGTGTGAATATGATTTTTCGATCGACAAGCCTCTATGAAATTTGTTTTATTCATTTTGAGCATAAAAATATACAAAAAGTATACATAAAAATATAAAAAATATACATAAAAGTATACAAACATTTTTACGTCATGGCCAATGAAAAGAGGATTCTATCCTGTAGTGTATCCCCTCTGAGTACACCACTGGTGTGATTTATTAATTATTATTTTATTGACAAATTTGGTAATTCTTTAATTCTACCCTTTGTCATCTTTATTAGCCTTTATTATATTATAAGTTCAACGGCTATGTTATTTTTTCCTTAATACTCGGAACGAATTTCCAAACTTTCTTGATTACTACTTTTGATATTTCTTCTTAAGTGTTCTTTTAAGAGTAATTATCCTTTTCGGTACAATTTAAATAATTTAATTGGGTTCCTTTACTTTATTTTTATCTTGACTCAGCACAAGTCTGTTATCCAAGTATCGTATAACTTTTCAAACTACGGCTTATTAAAATTTGCAAATTGTAATTAAACGTATTAATTATTGCACCCTTCTCTACAGTCAACAGCGTTACTTAGAATTTATTTTGCCTTTTAATTTTACAATAATGTATGGGTTATATTATTTACTGAACAAATATTTTGTTTTTAGACGTTTCACACACCAAGTTTTGGCGATGAAGGCTTTGACATACCGTCTATGGCTAATCAAGTAAACAACTCTAATACCTCTTCAAACTGTAATACTGTGTCTAGCCCATCGAATAGTTCAGCAGATTCAATAATTACATCTCATACTCAACCACAACCTGCATTAGCTTATCAACACACACAGGTAATAATTGCAGCTAAATCCTTGAATATCATGTGAAGAGTAAAACATACTAAAAGAGTATTATCGCAAAATAGTTTCTGTCAAAGTCTTCATAAATTCACTGATATTTGAATTATTTTAACCGAAAGCTTAGTGAATGGATCATTATATTATATCATCAAAATGAATTTAATTATTCTTTTAAAAGTACACAATTAATAAGATTCAATAAAAATTATTATTATGTTTAATGTAGATGTATATTTTTAGACGCGACTAATGAAAATAACTATATATTCTTTTTTTGACACATAATGTTGTCCTGTTGATAATATTTTCTTATTTGTATTCCTTAAAGACACGCATATGCATATTCAATACAAATTCCCATGTTTTCTTAAGCGCATACCAATTTAATGTATAATGAATTTGACTATTAAATTTGTATTTTGATGTCATATATATTTCATCTGACGTATGATCATAAAATATCAGTATAGTGATCTTAATGTGATAAATATGGTCTACTTATTTATATTATAGCAAATGATGAATCATCATCATGCCCAAGATACCAGTGGGATGCAGGGGATGAATACGCACAACACGCACCATTCACACCAATCGGCTTATCAGCAGCCACTATACTTGACCGGTCACGAACACGGACTTGGACTTAACGTCAGGTAAAATACATAAACGATACAACTGTATTTTTTGTAAAAATTATTTAAAAATAACTATTCATTTGAATATAATATTCTGCTTGGTCAAAATTAAATATCATGGATTAGTTTTGTTTTTGAGTTTCTTAATGTTTTATTTAACTAAAGTGTCACGTTCACATTTATATTGAAGCAAATCATTGAAGGTTTAACATCGGAAATTTTCAAGAACTCACTCGCATTATAGTTGTACATTTAATCCACTGGCATTTTAGTTAAGTGTAGCACATAAGCCTTTTCTAAGGAAAATGGTGCAAAGTTTTACTTCGAATTTCATTTCAAATCATTGTTTAGTATTTCTACGCTATCATTTGAACTATTTCAACCAATGTTTTCATTATATTCATTTACCATTATATTTTTTCAAGTTATTTAGATTACACTTCAATTAAGTAATAATCAAATTATTTCCATTATAAATCACCAAAAATATTTTGATTATTTGATGGAATTTACTTAAAATGTTTCTTGGAAAATATTCTGCAATAACTTATAGGAAGATTCATTAGTTGGATTTTAATTAAAAGGTCTTGCACTAAATATACTTTGAATTGTCATTGAAAGTATATAATTCTCATTAGTTACCCTATAAATTGTCCATCGTTATAATTACTCTTCGTTAATACATTGTTCTCATCAAACATACATTCTATGAAGAGTTAAAATTATTAACCGATATTTCTGAAGCACGCTGCTGTTTTGAATACTTCTTACTAAATTTTAATTGCACAAACAAACTTTTAATTGCGATAAATATTTTCTACGTTCCCAGCTATTTGTACGATTATTATTGTTATTCATTTAAAATCTGTCACGAGTATATGTATAAAATATAGTTCCAGTTATTCTCAACCAAGTTACACACCTTTGAACAACACTAATGCTTCTAATGGGTCACAAAATGGAATGATGTACCATCGACACCATCAAGCTCCCAACCAGCAACAACAGCAACAGCAGCAACATCATCATCAACAGCAACACCCTAACATGATACAACCGACTCATTTACACTATACTAATATGGGACCTCCGGCTACTAGTCCACTTACTCCTTCTTTAGACATGCAACATCGGCATTCCAATCCAACTCCGACTCCGGAAGGTATTAATACTACCAGCGATGATAGTGATGATAGTACACCACATCAAACAATGGTGAGTTTAATTTATTTTTTAATTGTATGAAAAAATGAGTAATTTTCGAAAAATAAATTATAATATTTCTTTGAATATTTTTAATACATGTTCTTGTATTGTATTCTACTTCACAAAACTAGAATCAATTTTCGTATTCGAAATTCCGCTGTATTGTTTTTGATCTAAAGAAAATAACAACAAATGTGTTGAATAAAATGACTTTCCATTAATTGTATAAATTAAAATCTCAATTTATAAACAAATAAAAATAAAAACCATACAACCATAAATGTAATTTTTATTTGAATATAGTTAAAAAATGTTATGGATTAGTTGAATTGAAAATGTCATTAGTTTAACTTTTTATCATCATCATCATTATAAGGTTTATGCACTTTTTCATCGTTACTCAAAATTCCAATTTCCTGTTTATGTTTTCAAGTGTTCATATAATCCAATAATGTCATGTAAAGTGAAATAAAAATGGGTAGGTGTTTCCAAGTAAAATTCTAGGCAATTCCGTTTGAATAATGTATGCAATTTTATGCAAAGGGCAGGGTTTATATTGCCTCTAAAAAAATAAATTAGACGTATATGTATGTATATTTTTGTGTGTATATATTCTTTGCGATCCATATTTCATACGGTATTTTTGGGTTAAAATGTGTTATTATCGTTCGGTACTCTCATACATATTTTATGGACCGCACCATTATACATGTTTCTTAGCTAATATTTATCGAATAATTGAATACTATTTACATAAACATTAGAATAAAAAAAAAAAAATTTTAAATGCCCCTATGCATTATAAGCCACTTTTTTCGCTAAGCATACAATATACTTAATGGATATTTTTATTTAATTTTATTTTTATATAAGGAGTTTTGTTGTTTCAAAAAAAAATGATATTTTTAGCTTGCAAACAAGAGAGAACGTCTTTCCCCAGAACCAATTGATGGTTGTGGTGGTATTATGAAAATGCAGCAAAAGAAGCCTAAACCAACAAAAAAGAAAAAGAAACGAGATCCAAATGAACCACAAAAGTAAGTGATATTTTACTTTGTGTTACGTTATTTTAAATCAGTAATATATATATATAACTAAGATAACTAGGGTACAGTTTAAGTAGCAAAATAAAAATATTTATACAAAAATATATTCTTGAGAAGACGAATTTTACTAGTATGGAATAATTAAAATAATTACACTTTTAGATTAATTTGACCAGTGATTGGTTGAACATTTATTTTAGATTCATCCATTATAAAAAATATATAAAAAAAGTAATTTTAATAAATTTTAATTAAATTAGTATTAGTAGTTTTTAATTAAAACTGAATCATAAATCATCGTAATTACTGTTTACCAGTTTTCATAAAATGTGATGACATTATTGGTATTTGAATTTTTTTAATTAATTATTATTTATTAAACAAATAGTAATTTATAGTCTGTCAAGTTTGAAAATTAATTGTGCATGGCATAAATATTCACAACGTAGAAATGGTAATTTATTATGATGATACATTAGTTAGTTGTGTTCAAATATTTCTAATTTAATAAATTATTAAGTTTAACGGTACCTTTAAACATTCCAATACCTTTTTGAAATATATTATTACAAATATGACAGCAAATACAAAAACAAATCCCGGTATAAAATGTGTTTCTAACGCTGGTGAGTTAATACGAAAACATAACGCCAGCATCTTAAGTGCTTTATGCTTTTGTTAGCTTTCGGATTACTTCTCTTAACGACATATTTAAAACATTTGGTGCCTTTTGTTGCGCTTTCATTAAAAATAATTTATGTTCCTTTAGCCTTTGTTGCTTGCCGTCATTTAAAGAACGCTAAGTTCTCCTTTTATTTTATTATTTAGAAAAAACCAGACATAGATATAATACATACATTGTATTGTATAAAATCCTAAACGTCAAAAGGTTTGTTGTACATATAATACTGAATCGTTTTGTTCATACAAAACTCACACCTGTTCTTCGCCAATCTGCCGTCGACAGAACCTAAACGTCATAGAATATGGACTTCCTACCAAGTTGTCTGTGATGAATTCACATTTAATGTCAGAATAACATTATGACAAATATAGAAATTAATCGCTGAAAAATATAAAGCAGTTAATTGTATTATACAGAAAATTAGCCTTGAATATTTTTAAATTGAAATACTGTAAAAAACAATATTTAATTATAAGAACAGTTTATAGTAGCGTTGTCAACCAAAATGGTTGATTGGAATGATGATATAGTTATGTGTAAACGGTAAAATGTTTGCCAAGACATTTTCATGTAGCTAAAAAAGGACAGCTCTACAACTTAATCACGTTATTAATTACTATACTTCATCATCAATTAATTCCAAAATATTAATGATCCGAAACAATAACTACAGTATGAATTGACTCAAGTAAACAAACTCTGATATGACATAACAGACTCAAATACATAATTAAGAATTTATTGTGTAGTGCTTTTTAATATCGAAATTGAATTGAAATAATCAAAACTTAGAAAGAAAATAGTACGTGCATTCGATTAATCTAAGTCAATTGATACTATTTTTCACTATTCACAATTTTATCTAAATTTAATTTACATAAGTAATTTATGTTAATGAAAGTCGAGAAATGAGTACTTATTATTATTTACATCCTAAGTACTCTATTATTTTGTTTTATCAATTGAAAACTGAATGTCATGAATATACTGATTGGAAGGAATTATTTTTTAATTATCATGTGCACGCCAAGATATTAAAAGTACTATTGTTGTATTTTTTTTCGTTTTGATCATGTGAGCACGGCAGCGTGGAAATGAGATGATTGCATTATTTATTATTCGGAAACTACACTAGGGAAGTTTTTCCGAAATAAGAGTGTTATATTGATGAAACTAATTTAAGTTATTCCATTCTACCCCCAAGAAGAGATGAAGGATTAGGTGAATGACGTTATTTATAAAATTTCACAACTATTTCAGATGTAATTGAATATTCGAAATATTAGCAATTTAAATAATATCAAGTATTTACATTTCTTAAAATATAAATTACTTCTACTCGGAAATGAAATTCTATATTCAGAAGAAACTTTAGTAATCAAATATTTGGTATATATAATGAGCATTATGTTAATTATTTTCATTATTCGATATTGTTAAAATCAAATTTTGAATGAACTATAGTGTCGTATTGCTTTCTTCTCTATTATGCCAACAATGACATTTTTTATTTTATCTAATGTGGTGAAATATAATAATTTAATCATTTGATTCATTTCATAATTATAAAAAATAATAATTCAATATCAATTTCATTTTATAAAGTGGTGTGTTGATAAACATCACTTTCGTGGGTCGATATAAACTTTAAAATAAGTATTTACTAAATTGTAAGTATTTTAATACATTGATTAGGTAGTAAGGGTACAGCTCGTACTGGTGTATATTTTAACACATACCCCGACCGCGTTACATAGTCACTCTATGTATTAAAATTCCTGTAACTTAATAATTACTCATTCTAAAGTTGTTATTGAGCTACCAACTTAACAATTTAGAAGAAAAAGGTTTAAAAATTATTAATTTGAAATTTCAAAATATAAATAATAATTTTATTTTTTTAAATTTAAAATAAATAACATATAATATGTTTTTAACGTAGTATAAGAATGTAAGATTCCAAAAAAAAGTAACCTAAAATATTTGCTAGATCAAAAGTTATTAAGTATGCCGTGACTTGGTAGAACATCTTATTGTTCTATACAAAGATTATTAATACTTATTTATGAAAATAAAATTGCTGCTGTCTGGGTCTTCTGAGTCAACCATATAATTTTTTAAATTTGTAACAATGCTTCATCATGGCTCACATCAACCAGAAAGACGATAATTATTTTGTTAAATTAAAAATTTGTTAACAGTTTTGGTCGGAAATCATCAAGATATAATTGCATCTGAAGTGGAAACGACTGATAATATGATATTCAAGAGAACTTTTGAGAATATTACTGTACGCTAAAACTTCTATTTTGTTGGCTTTATGTATTCTATTTGTGGAATGTGGTAATTTTCGTCAAAAACTTCAAAACTACCCTCTCTACGTTCACTCCTATCTTTCTCATATAATATACGTATTCTCATTTATTATCCACGGCAAAAGTTTATTATATTTTATGTTCCAACGTAATATTGATCCTTGCTGGGTCGGGTTATTACTAAAGTTCTCTTGAGTGTGTAGTTGTTCGACATTTAAACTTTTCAATGAAAAACTCGTCTCCACCTTGCGCTGAATATGAATTGGTAAAAGGGGTCGAAGAAATAATTTTTTGTTCGAAAGTTGTTGGGAAGAATGTATTTTTTCAAAATTGTTTAACAGATGGAAACAGGCTTGCCGTCTTGATGGATAGCTACCAAAAACAAATATTTTCCTATTTACACAAGTAACAGAGTAAATATATAAAATATTTTTTATCGCGGTCTATGTTATCATTTCATCCCATTATACAATGCACCTGCAGATAAGATGAAGATGCATTTTTTCTTATTCATTTAAATATAAATCTATGACTATCGTAGTCAAGAAGAGATAAAACGGAGTAATCAATGAGGTATTCATTACTGAAAACGATTTTCGGAAAGACTTTTATCTTGCTTTTTATGCATTCAATTAAGGCTGCAGTGATGTAAATCTAATTAAAACTTTACTGTCTTGACGATACTAAATTCAGCTTCAATTATAGATAGGTTCCTGGAGAAGTAGACGAGGTAAAGAGTTATACTCGACAGCGTACATTTTTCCAGTTTTATGCATAGACCATGTAGTACAAAGAAGAGTAATTATAGTAATTATTTAACGTCAAAGCGTTTACACTTAATACATTTTTCAAAACAAAAACGCTTTTGCTGCTGCTATTAAATAAAGATTATAGGGTTTAAAATAGTACTCTAATACTGTTTTAATAGCATAAACTTTTGAAGCAAAATTAGTATGTGCATTATAAAATATATGTTTTAGTAAAGGAAATAATCACATAAAATTTATACAAACCATAAAATGGTATTTATTTTTTTATTTTTATTATTGTATTAATGAAATAAAACAGTGAATAATAAAATAGAGTTTATAATACACTAAGTAATATTATGTTCAAACAAAATAAATTACAGTGAATACTTTAAGTGTATATTATGATTATTTTTATGGTACATTTACATGCGAATCGATAGTTTTTACCACTCAAACTTCCGGAGCTCTCTGCCATAAACTTCTATACCCTAATTACATAAAATATACTTAAAGCAATCTAAACTCACTATTAATTATTATACTTTGAGCCGAATATAAATTGAACCATTTGCGCGAATAATAATAATATTAACAACAATAATAATATATGTTCTTTTGAGCAATGGTGGCAGTAAGTTTTAAAGTTAACAGACTGAACTCGATGTGACTAAATCCCAATTTATTAATGACTCAAAACTCTTATAATATTCAACATGATTTATTCACAAAGATATTGTGCAAATTAACGCAATAAAGATAATTAAGTTTACTGCTAAAATGGCGACGTTTGCATAATAAATGCTGGAGAAGTTTTTTTATGTACTTAAGGCAAAAATTTAACAATCATAATCTTGCTCAAAGCGTTTCAAAAAACTGCACATTTAATTTTTTTAATTGAACGACACAGCTTTAATTAATTAATAATAAGTATATTTAAAAGTTTAAATTATTAACATCCTAATTAAAAATGCTATGTTTGTTTTTTCTAGACCTGTGTCTGCTTATGCTCTATTCTTTAGGGACACTCAAGCAGCTATTAAGGGCAAGAATCCCAATGCTAGTTTTGGAGAAGTATCTAAGATTGTTGCATCCATGTGGGACTCATTGGATGCTGACCACAAAAACGTAAGTAATCAACTGGTATATTCTTTTTTTAGTATGATAATTATATTTAGATTAAAAATTAGACTAATTCATTTCTGAGAAATTCAAACTAAAACATCAATCAAGAAAGCTTGTTTCGTATTCTTGAATAATAACAAAGAAAATAATATTATGTTTATAAGACTGACAGATTAAAATCCTTTTTACTGTTAAATCGGTCTCTTGCTCTCCTTTCGTTTTGGCAAACTCGCCTGCTCATAAACATTTTCTCTTATTATTTATATCGACAAAAGAAAAACATTTTATAGAAAAGAAAATCTTTACCCCTTATTTCTGTGTTTCGTTTTTCACAGCTACACAGTCTTTATACAAATGAAAAATAGTAATCCATTTTTAGAAGTGCCCTCAGTTAGATCGAACACATTAATAAAACCAAATATACAGAAACAGTATAAGAAGAAGGAGTAAGTAAGAAAGAGAATATTGATGATGAAGGAGATTGGGTCTTATGGTGGCAGAGAAATGGGACAGGGGGTTATACTCTTTCTAGAGAATAAATAATGTCGAAGCTGACGTTATGAAAATATAAGTTGGGTAGTATGTGCTAAGAAAGTAATTTTTAAAGCTTTTTCACTTGTAAATTTGTATATAGAGGTAGGTTTTGATATATAAGAATCAAAAGAAAATGTTGTTGAAAATATGTAAATAATATTGATAATAAAGAGATAGAATGAGAAATTTGTTTATGCCAAATCTAAGGAAGTGATAATTATTAACGAATTTAGGGACTCGCCTGGAGCAGGCAAACTATTTGCTTAAATTATTCGATTAAATTTTGTGAGATTAGTTTATTTATGCCTTTATTGATACAAATAGGTAACTAGAAAAAAGAAGTGTCTTTTTATAATAAAACCGAATGTAAGAAAGTTGAAGTTTTAATTATATATTGTGAAGAAAATGTTTAAACAAATTCAATAGAGGTTAATATTCTGAGTGAATTTTATATTAATAATACAATTAAAAACAATTTTTTTAAATGGATTTTTAACAATAAATAAACCAAAAAGAAATGAAAATGAAGAAAGTGAAGATTAAATTTAATATCGATTCTTTTGTATGTTGTTTAATTTGTTTACACTTGACGATGATGAAGACTTATAGATTTTATATAAATGAGACAGCTTGATTCGTAATCGTTTATATGAAGATTAAACGTATTTTTTTATGAAAGAAATCGTCAAGGTTAAAAAGTGAACGTGTCACTCTTAAAAATCTTTAATTGATTTTCATTCTCGCGCCGAGTTTTCTATTAAAATATGGCGGTAATGCATTATGCAGACCACAATAATTTTAAAGCAAACGTTTTTAGATCAAAAGACTAACATAGCTGGTTTAAAATATCCAAGTTCTGTAGCCAAATGACGTTCATAAAGTAAAGTTTTTATTTTTATAGTAATTTTTAATTGCCAGCAAACTATCAACTAAAATTCATAAATTGAATATGTATAGAAACATTGCTAAATGAATTGACTAATAGTTACATCTTTTAAGACGTCACAAATTTTTTTTGTTTATTAGTTAATTTTAATAACATGTAAAAATTTAAAAATATAATACTAACATAATGATGAAATAAATGTTTAAAACACCAAAATATAGCACTTTCACAATTATACTGACCTATTTCTCATGATTCGAATGGCTATTGCAATAGGCCATTTACCATTAACGTATACCATGTTATATGAATCAAGAGAAATCTTAAAGGTACTTCCGGGAGGTACGATAAATATTAAAAAATAATAATTTTAATATATAAATAATATTATCTTGACATTTGTTTGACTCATTTACTATTGTAACGAAAAGAAAAATTATTTAATTTTAGTAGAATAGGTATTTTTATTCTAAGAAAAATAATGTAAAATAAAATCTGTTTATAAAATAATTACTTACCATGTATAATTATTTGTAAACTGATTCGTTTGTCATCACATTTGTTGCTTTTCTACTATAAACTGATAAAATATAAAAACCAAACATAAACTAAAAACGAAAAGAAAAATCTACTAAGATCTACATTTAACACTAATGTTGATTCACCACCTCATTCAGTAGGATCCTAGTCTTTTAAGTGAAATCTTCATAAACTTTCTAAACCATACAAAATACTCAATAGTTCAATAGAATACTGAAAAATTTTTGACATTTGACAATGAATTATCGCTGCAGACTTTGAATTGACATTCTTACTATCTATTATTCATTCAGCTTGGAATTAAATTTCTATATTTACTTGCGTATAAAATATTATCATTGTGTTTACTGCTTTAACTTAAACATCGTCATTAATCACAAGGGCTTATAATATAATATGTGTAATATTATCATACATCACATCAACCGTTATGTATGTTTCTGCTTCGAACAAGCAGTCTTGAATGATTTTTTTGTTCTATTGCTATACGGTGAGTGTAGTAAAATATTTATTATAGGTATAAAAAAACCATATAATATATTATTGTATTACGATGGATAAAGCCATTCGTATGTTATCATCTATTAAATGTTAAAAGTTAGTTACAAACAACAATAGTATATTAACAGTATGATTGTCTTTGACGAAATAACAAATCAACAAAAACATAATATTAATTTTATAGTCGACAGAAAACTTTAAATCTTTTAAGTTGTCTGTATAAGTTGTTTTACGAAAAACAATGAAATTGAAATGGTTCCAGTTATAACTACACTAGCATCTTCATATTAAATTTGATACTAAAATAACAGTAAAACTCTTTTCACAATCACTTTGAAGCTGATTTTTTTTACAATAATGCATATCTAATGTAAAAAGCATTTTAATTGTACTACGGTTAGTTAATAATTATGTAGAATGAATAAACCAATATTGATTAGTCCTATTATTATAGTCTTGATTAGAAGTATTGCCTGGTACAAAAATTTCGTTTGATGGAAAATTAACTATGTTTTTGATGTGATGTCTGCAAAGAAAGTTTCAATTCAATTTTGTCGAAGCTCTGTACGGATAATTAGGTTACTTTTAATGCAGATCCCTTGAGGAACAGAACAAATTTATAATAACGAAATGCAAAGTTTGCTTTTGCTATGACAATGAGAGATAAAAGAGGAGAACTTATTGAATGCGACATAAAAAGGGTGCAGACTCTCCGTGTTTATAAGCGATTTTAATCAATAACGTTTCAATTAGAAACTTCTCTGTACAAGCCCTAACGCCATTGATTTAACATTTATAAATGCTGCGTCTCGTGTGTACTATAGTCACACTGAAGGGCTTTCTATGAAAATTTAATAACGTTTGTTTTGAGTAATATAATTATTCAAAAAACTATATTCTACGAAGGTTGGTTCCCAAATGTTTTTCGAAGGTCGTTTACGATTTCCTAAAATTTAAAAAAAGTAGATTAAATCAATTTCCGTTTTGCATGGCAAAGCATTCATCGTTCGGCACTTCTTCGAGATACATTTTTTGATGGCTCATTGTGTTCAATTTCTACAATAAAATATTATAAATTGAATTTTATTTTTTAATGGATTGCTCAAGAATTAATATTTACTACCACGGAATTGTGTTTAATTTCATTTCACTAATTAAATAAATAAACTACACGTTTAATATTATTTTTTAATGACTTGCTTATCTAAAATTTTTTATTTTAAGGTATACAAAAAGAAAACTGAAGCGGCTAAGAAAGATTACTTAAAAGCTCTAGCGGCATACAGAGCAAGTCTTGTATCAAAGGTATGTAATATTTTTAATATGAACCAACGGAGGTATTCCGTTATAGAATTTCTTAAAAATAAAAATAATTTTTTTTATGTTATCGTATAATAACTTTTCCTAATGGAAATTCTCGTTGAAAAGTTTAAAAGTAATATACGCCGTATTCAAAATTATTAATAGTCGACTTTAATCATGTTATATAATATAATATATTACATCGATCGACCAACAGGGTAGTTCGTAAAAGTGGGGAGAACTTTACGATCCAGACGCGTTTGCACGCGAAAAAGTTTGAAAAGTCTGTGCTTGCCGACGGTTGAGAGGATCGATTTAAAGAAGACTAAAAGAGGATATTGAAAGTCCTCTCTTTGTACAAATTATATGTATTATTATCGGTTGTAGTATTAAACATTTCTTTCTCAATTAGGGCGGAGAAACGGATTCCAATATGTACGCCGGTGGTTATGTGGGAAGCTATGGTGGCGTTTACAATGGTTACTCGCCACCTGCCGGGTTACCATCGCCGCCTATGTCTGTCCCATCACCACACTCACAAGTGCATGGCCAAGTCAAAAAGTCCAACATGATGATGGATAACCGAGTGCCAGTAATGAACAACCATACACAAAATCATAACCAATCGGTAAGTCGTAGCAGTTTAAAGACATATTTCAGTTTCCCTATGGCTTTTAACTAATTAATGAACTCAAGTTATGTATCTGAATGATCTTAAACGTTTCCTTTTTCCTACCTAAATGTTTTATTTTAATATTAATGTACTTGGTGGTTAGTGTAATAGTTGATGTGCAATAATTGGTATTATTTAATAAAATAATAAGGTATTAATGAAATTTAATTTAATTTAATGTAATTAATTACTAAACTGAATCGACTCATTGGCATTTTGTTGGTTAAAAAAAATAAAAGAGCCAACAATAATTATAGCATCACCAGTACATACACATAAATTACTTTTGAATATTGTTTAAACTTACTACATGGTGTAAATATTATGCTCATAGGAGGTCGTCATTCTTAAAATAGAAATTATTTAGACTTTAAACAGATGTTGGTTATTATCCAAAATTTTAAAGTTGGTTTTTCATAGGAATCTTAGATATTTTTTGCTTAAACAGTGTTATATTGATGTAAAGTATAACAATAATCTATTAATATAATAATTTCGTTACAGCAGTAATTATGTCATTTAATCTCTAATATTTGTGGCTGCATATTAAATTAACATAATATATAAATTTTCTATTGTGATTAAACAACATCATTTTAAAACCTGTATGGTTTATTTATATCATTTTTTGAAATTTTCAAAACGATTATCACGTAAAACTAGTTTTATTAAGAATTTATTGTATTCTTGGTTCTATATATAGATTAAATATTAATACTTAAGTGTATGCTACTAAATGTCTTTCATAATTAAAAACAGTATTTTGTAAACGTACTTGCATCACATATACACTAGTAAACGTTGTAGTTTAATGAATAATATCGCATATCTAGGATCGTTTGGGGTACTCCACTGTTTCACTGCACCGATGTAATCAGAATGATTAATAAGGTAGTCATGAAATATTACATTTTATCAAGCTATAATAAAAACCCTACGTTATCTTCTTCTTATAAATTATTCTATAATTAACATTAAATCAGCTATCCAATAGGGTGGCCGATAGAAATCTTAGCACTTAATATTAATGGCATTTAAAATTTATGAGATTTTTAACGTCTAACTTTCTTAAACCTAATTATGTTGCATCAAGTTTGTATTAAATTTAAATTAATGAAATTATTTCGAAGTCTTACTTAATATACAATTTAACCATAAACATAAAGATGATGTAGGCTAACGAAGTTTTTGTAAAATTTATATTTATTTAAATGAAATAAACTACTGATATAATTATTTTTAAATTTTATTTTATAGTTCATTATTATCATTAATTTATGTAAATTTGAGTAAATAACTAATTTTTTTCATAATTGATTTCTGAAAGAGTGTTGTTGATTTTTATAATAACTCGTTTGTCTTAACTTTAAAATAATAATGAGTGAAATAACTTTGAGATTACTCATATTTATCCCTTATAAAATATTGTTAAGTATGAATTTACTTTAAAATTAGATATGTTGGTAACACAATAATATGTAGCATTAGCGGTGTAGGTAACACTGGTTTTACGCGCAACCGCGTATCGACTTAAATCCTCATGGCGCCTTCGCCACCCTTCGAGTAAAGAAAAGCATAATCACACACTACAGCTGAAAGTTATAAACAAAACTATTACTCCGTGGGCTTTTAGTTTTATTTCCTTATTATTAATTAATATTTTCTTTAGAAATATCTAATATTTGACTTTTTTCAAAACAGCAGCAAACTACAGGACTGATCGGCAATCATAATCAAGGAGGTCCAGTACTTAATCATTTGTCGCAACATCCACAAGGTGGATTGCCACCCTCGCCACAGCAGTCACAACCTCCAACACCACCGACAAACGTGTCATCTTACGTGAGTATTAGTATTATAAATGAATAATTCCGATTATTTTTTATTCTTTACGGACGACAAAACTGTCAATCATACAAACATTAAAATAATTATTAATTAGATTAAAAACTCCAATGTAATATAAAATTATCAGTTTAATGATAACAGTGATAAGATAATAAATTTAATAAATAGGGGAGATAACTTTGGTAATACTAGAAATAATTTATAATCTAAGGCCAATTTATATTTTCTTATAGTGATAATTCATCAAAGTATTTGTATTCTACAGACGTTATCTTATCAAAAATAAGTAATTAATTCTGGAACAAATAATTTTTGGGAATATCTAATGTAAAAGGTCACTTTCCGGGTCATTTTGAAGTTATATTGTGTAATAATTGTACGAAATTTCAGAAATCATTAAACTGTTAAAATATTTATTTAAGATCTTTAATACTCAGTCATCTAACTTCTTTGTATTTTGACTATGAATACTATAACTTTGTCTTATTCATTGCTCTTCAAAAGGTAGTGATAAGACATTAATGAAAACTTGCGTTTGAAAGATAACTTACATTCGATACATAAGAAGGATTAATGTATTTCGTTGAGATTTCATTGTTAATACTATAGGCTACGATGAGTACACCAATTCCTTTGGGAACACCATAATCACTCCCGCCATCATTATTGATCTATCAAAGATGTTTATATAATAATAAGGAGTGGGTAACTCGGCAGTGGTAATTGAATTCCACTTTTGTTTACTGAATAAAATCAATATCAACTTAATTATGTACATAAAGTTTTTTTCTCCCTTTTATGTTTCAAATATCTGTCTCTCAATTAAGTTTTTTCGAAGAGAGTTTTAATTGTTTTTAATTTTACTAAATTAAAAATTAACCATTAAAATATTGAAAAGATGTGTTGAATATTAAAAATATATAATTTTTTTTTTTACTAACTTTGCATGTGGCTTTTTAATAATAATATGTTTTTTCTCTTCACAGTGGCCATGGTGTTTCAACCCGANTAAAAATTAACCATTAAAATATTGAAAAGATGTGTTGAATATTAAAAATATATAATTTTTTTTTTACTAACTTTGCATGTGGCTTTTTAATAATAATATGTTTTTTCTCTTCACAGTGGCCATGGTGTTTCAACCCGACGCAGAACAGTCATTAGCCGGTGGCGGAACTCCAACACCGCCACAAAAGCAGCAGGTCAACATGTGCACACGAAATGGCTGTGGCAACATTGCTGTATCGTGTCCCGATTGGGATGACGAATATTGCAGTTTTGACTGCTGTTACCAACACTGCAAGTGAGTGTCACTTAAATGTTATTTAATAATCGTAACTATACCAATTACTGATATAATGAACGAATCACCAAGTAATAATTGTAGGTGGAATAGAATGTAAATAATAATGTATGTATTTTTAAATGATACTATCCTCTATAAACAATTTAAAAAAACATTAATTAAAATGATTGATTATTTAAGAGGTGGAATATGTTGAGCTCGGTACGGGATTAGAAACCGCGATTAAATTTTCGCAGAAACAAATCTTACTAATAGGACACTGTACACTTATTATTTAGATACAATTCCATATATATACATAGACAACGTGATGTACGGCTTTAGGGAACACGGTACCGTGTCAGTGTTTTAACATTTTCTAGCGACTCCCTCTAACTAAAACTTTTCATAAAAAAATAATACTATAATTGAAGGTATTATTCACGTTCTTAAATGTAGATTGGGAAATAGATTTCTCCGATGCAAAAAACTTATGAAATGAAGACACAGTTATGGAGGATCTAGTAAATAAATTTTTATGTGAATTATTTATTTATTACGAAAAATTTAATTATTTAATTCTATTATAGATTTTGAGTAAATAATTTACTTAAAACTATTAATAATTAGTACTAATAGTTTAACGATTTTGTAATTCATAATTTCATAAATTGATTAATTAAAACACTAATTATTGTATATTTTTATCCTCAGATACACGTTTAGCACATGGTTGGCACAAAATAAGGCAAATAAAGCAAAACATCAAACATCTACTACCCATAGCCAACCTTCTGATGACCTGCATCCCAATGTATCATAAAATTTTATTGATTTTTGTAAATAATTCTATTACAGATAACGTTATATAATTATGCATATATATTATTACAGTTAAATATAAAGAAAACCTGTGACTAAGAGTATCTCATAATATATTACTTGACATAAAATGCTTCTGTATATTTTTATTTTTGATTTATAAATACATGTACATGAATGTGAATGTAAAAATACATTATAATATGTAACAATAATTAAAGATTATTATAAAAATACTATTGTACATAAATATTTACAAGTTACTTCAAAAGGATATTTAGGTATATCTCATTTATAATTGATAAGTATGAAAATTAATTAAAAAATTTAATTGTATTTAAGCAATAAAATATTTGATCGTGTCGATATAAGCAATGTCAATGATGACAATCTTATTGTTATTTCGTGCACAATTTATAAATTTAATTATAAATTATTATTAAAATTCAATTTATCAGTTATTGTTAAAAACTATTTTTAACAAACACTTTGTTAATGTAATTTTATGTTGAAAAATTATAACTATTAATAACTATAATGTATTTTTTGTAAATAATAATATGCATAAATACAATTTTTTTTTATGTAACCAAACGAGTGATACGCAGTATAATTGTACGTACCATAATTACCACATAATAAAGGTATCTCTTACCATGATATATAATTTTTCTGTTAAATTATGTCAAATGGCTACTAAATATTGCTCTGTTTGGATTATTTAAAGTTATTGACCCTTTAAAGGTCTTTGTAAAATAAATTTATTTAATTAGGTACTCATATCAATGAGAAATACATAATAATAAAAATATAATAATTATTTTTACATGAGTATTAATATTAATGCTTAATTTATTTTTGTTTTATTTTTTATTTTATTATTTAGCCAAATTGAATATTTTAAAGTTGTTATTATACTGAATATTTTTTCTCTTTTTGTTTTACTTTTAAAACTTAGGTATGATTTTATATTGTACATACATGATAAAGAAAGCTCATGTTATCTGTTGTTTTTCAATCTGTTTATACATAGTATATATAATAAAAATGTAAACGATTAAAAATAAAAAAATGTAATTAAATAGTGGAAAATTGTTCACATCCTTTACACATCTTATATTATTAATTACAATCCTAGAAAAATCATTTAAATAATTTATTTAGAGTTAACTCTAAATTAAAAATGAATCATTTTAATATACTTATATACTAAATTTTTAATAGACTAAAGGTCTCTCCTATGTCATGGAATAAAACTAATTGACTGATGATTGCAAGTTTTAAGTTGTAATATTGACATTTTATTATATTGTACAGGTGACTTTTTTAAACCACTCAATTACTTACAGAATAAATATAATTTAAAAGTTTTCTTATTTGGTTACTTTTAGTTTCATATTATTCTTGAATTATTAGCTTTTTAATACTTTTTAGATTCATCTCTTATGTCTTGGAAGGGTGTCAAATTTATGTTTTTGAATGTGGATACATATTTCGAATTTAATAAAATGTTTGAATTTTTAGTTTGTTAATAAATGAAATTTGAAATTTTTAATATAATTTAGCTAATTGATTTTATATGACGTCGATATTCGCAGATACATGCTTTTATTAACAATGGTATAGAGACACATTGCTATGAGTTTATAAAAACACCAATTGGCAATAAAGAAAGCATATTTATTGATAGTCATAATTGACAATAAGCACTCCGTGACTGTAATAGCGACATCATAAAAAACCAATTAGCTACCTTTGTTTGTAATCTTTCATGTATTATACATGTATATTAATTAAAAAATTTAAAATTTTATGTCTAATATCATAAAAAAGTCAAAACCATCTTTAAAATATTAATTTGGATAGGACATTGCACATAATCATAATTATAAAAAATCATTACTTTAACTTATAGCATAATTACGATGAAAAAAAAATTAACTAACAATTTTACTCAAAATATTAATTTACTAATCTTTTAACATACTAACTATAATAAAAATTAGAGTCCGGAATAATATATTTAAATTTTTTTTAATTTGGCTTTTATACAAAGCTGAGGGAGAAGGTATTCATTTTATTACGATCTTTTTTTTTTTATGTTTGTGGCCACTTACTCTCAGGTCTTACCACAACGATTTATTTCAACTATAGAACACAAATCGTATCTAGTTATAAAGACATTGCCCTAAAAAAATACGATTTTTAAAATAAAATGTTGACATTTTTTTCTTAAAACAGCCATATTCTTTTTTAAAAATGAGTTAGTCAAAACAATTTTATTTTATATCTTAGGTTTGATATAAATTTTATGAAAATCTATGCATTTTCAAAATAGTAGAAATTCAAACTAGTAACTTTTACACGAAAAGATAACTTTTGAACATATTTCGGAAACACTACGTCATTTAAACATATGTTGAACTAAAACATGTTATAAATTAAAAAAAAATTGTCCGGCTACTTTATTTTCTATGTGCAAATGGCCGCCAAAGTTGAAAAAATTGTTATATTGGTGTTGTTATGATTATTTATTTCAATTGATATATCTATATTTTTTGTTACACAATATAATTTTATAATAGAGAGGAAATAATTATCCCATTTAACCCCTCTTTTACAAAAAAAAAAAAAAAATGTATAAAAATAATTTAAGTGTTAGTAATAAATATTTTCAGGAAAAATGCTTGCATCTTTTAGTGTCAATCTAATATGTAAAGGAAGAGGCTGCTCTTCCAAAAATTATGTTCTAGCTAATAATGGCTTACATTAAATTGAGGTAACGAAGTACAGAATGATTCTTTTAATAGCTATTTTTTGGCTATTATTATCTATATTTAACTAGCTTATAAACTAAAAAAATATCTAATTTAGATAATAACTGGTCGATGATAACTTTTGGCCCATTATTTCGGTAGTTATAACGGTATTTGAAAATATTGACTGGAGGTGAAGTATGGATTTAGTTATTTTTGTCATTACGCGTTACTCTGGTTCTTCTTCCATTTTATATTTCAAATGCTACTAATTTTCGAAGTACTATATTAAAGTTGTTATTGATCAGTTGCTTTCTTAATTAAATTATTTTTTATTTTATAAGTTAAATATGTATGTTGTTTTTTTTTTTAATACAGTTGACACCTTCAAAAAGTAAAAGGGATAAATTAAAAAAAAATTATTTATTCATAAAAATTACAATTCTAAATTATTGAATACTAATATCATACTAAATTTATTTACTATAATAAGTATTTATTCATGTCCTATACTCATAAACTATAAAACTTGTAATCAGGTTATAATTATGAATTCCTTCTAAAAATTAAACATACACAGATTTGCATTGAAGGGTTTTTATGATAGTGATTTTTATCACTTTTAGAAATTATTTATATTTGTCCCCACTTTGTCGCATCTTCATGTCGAGACACCACTGTGCAAGATTTTTTTTATGTTTAATACAGGTTTGTATAACATTACAATACAACATATTTTACCTTTATGTTTTAATTAGGGAAAATAATAAATAGTTTCAAAGGGGAGGATGAATCCAATTATATTAAAAACTGCTTAGCTAATTTATTCAAAGATAAAATATAGAAACTCATAATTCATTCTCAAAAGAGTTCCCAAAATAATTGCTGACAAAAATAGCATTAAGAACTTTCACATTTTTAGTAAAACTTGTAGTAATCAAATTTATGGATCATAATTTAAAAATAGTGTTATCATATATTTTGATTTTCTAGCTATAACGATAATACAACTGAGAAAGCTATCATTAACTTATTAAAGCACAGGCTAAAGATAAACAACTATATATTTGTACACTTGTAATTTTATGTTTATGTTAAAAATTATATTATAGTAAAANTACACTTGTAATTTTATGTTTATGCTAAAAATTATATTATAGTAAAATAGAATATATTTTTTAATTATTTATTCATTTTTTTCCTTATATATATATTTAATTGATTTTGTTATTAAAAAAAAAATAATTTTCATGTTTTAAAAATGCGTTGTATCTAATTTTAAATACATTCATGGCTACTCTTATATTTATTATATTTTTACTTATTGTATTAGTGAATAAATCTATAGTTTTAGATTTCATTTATTAATAAATAAATTATTTCCTAATTTATAAGCTTATACGTTTGTATTCAAAAAAATTGAGTTGACATACTTTTATGCTATATGGGATATATTATGAGGTATATAATATATAACTCATGTTATGAAAACATATGTTTTTATATGATAAAAATTATGTCCTTTTTCAATGTTTTAATTCAGTTTTGGGATTTAACATGAGTTCTACGGTCTAATATCTTTTTGCACTTAAGTTCACCAATGGTGTATTGGCATGATCGTTTATGTTATAAAATATTGATACACAAGTAACTGATCTGGTGCAACAAATTTTTTCATAAATACTAATTCATTTACTATTCAATAGTGTATTTGGAAGCGCTCTTTTTAAATATTTTATTTTAATTATCAAGTTGTTTTTACAATAAATTTTTAACTATTTGTCATAAAACACTAAGTCGCTCTTATTTATTCCTACAATTTAAACACAAATTTGAAATATAAACTTGATAATTATAAACAAAAAATTATAACCTTTACTGTTTAATAATTCTGTATTATGTTGTTTAAGATGAGATACAAATTTTAGATAAAAATAGACAAGACAAAAATCAATAATTCAATTTATTTTCATGAAACAATAAAAAACATTTCACGACAATGAAATTAAAAAAATTACAATGATCTCATTTTTAACGGTCTATTAATAAAAAATTATTTTCAAAAGATTTTGATCTGTACAGAATGAGATTTTTATAAATTTAATACTTATCTAATAATGATAATTATAACAATAGACTAAATCTATATTACATATCGAAATAACGATACAATAACTATATCTAATAATATTCTTTTTGAACTTGTGATGGTAATTTAAATAGTGATGTACTTTATGAATTATTAGAAGTTATTTTATAATAAACAAATAAAATAAATTAAAAACAAATTTATTGGTGAATATTTACTATAGAAAATTATTTTTTTATGTGTAGTAGACATATCAAATATTTTTTATTTCACATTGAAATTTAATAAAATTTATTAAAATGTAAGTGAAATTTTTGAGTGTCGAGTATATGAACACTTCGGTCATAAATGTCCATTTACTTTTAAAATAAATAAATTTGAAATCTTTTAAATTTTTTTTTTTGAATTATAAATAATGAGTCACATATAAATAATGAACTTAGGGTAAGGCGGGACAAGATAGCAAGTTTAAGTTTTTAGTATTTCTTTTTGACATCTATTAACGGATTTAAAATCTGAAATTTGCATGAAAATTACTTCTATATATAATCTAATATTACAATTGCATTCAATCGTCTCTTTCATCTTCTTATAGGCAAAATATGAGTTTTCCGGAAAATTGTCATTTTTTCTCCAACTATGAGGTGAGGTGACGAAAACGATAATAAACTTTGTAATCAAAACTATTGCAAAGAAATAGGTCTCTTATAAATGAATAGATATTAAATAGTTATTTTAGAATATTTAAGAGAGAATTAGAACATTTTTTCATAGCATACTAATATCTTAAGTTTTGATGTTCAAAAATGATGTAGAAGTACGCTAAACATGGATTTCTAACCACAACAAAAATAATTTTGGTTATAAACACCTTCGCGTTCTTAAATTATTAAAACACACACACACATGTGTTTATAGTATTGAGTATCATTGTGAACCACATGAGGCTTTTATGCTAACTAGATTTCGCTACTATTCTTATATAAGTACCGAATTCGTCATCTTACCCTATATGAAGTCAAAAAAAAATGTTTGAAGTCAACATATGTATACTGTTTAATTTTTATTATAAGTTCATTGAATAACCCAAAGTAAATTAAGATAACAATAAGGTAACCTTTTTTCTATACTATGTTCCAGTATTTTAAAATGGAGTTAGTGCATTTGAGTTTTTAAACATTTAAATAGTTTTTAGTTTAATTAAAAATTTACACTGGAATGATATTTGTTTGCGCGTTAAAAAAATAAACAAAATACTGTTTGACCTTAAGATTAGCTACTGTAAGACTATTGTTGGCAAAGTTACAAAATTATTTATATTACCACATTAAAAATAATCTCATATTTTTACAAACGTTTTAACCACCATTGCAAAATTTATCATTTTACCAAAAAGTAATTTGATCCAACTTGTGACTTCGTTTGGGTGTATTTTGTTTGTACTGAAATGAGAATCAAACCCTTTTTAAAAATGTATTAGGGTGAAATATAATTTTAAACAAGAACTGAGTATATAATCATGCCATTCATATTACTTAAAACGTCAACGCAAGTATGTACCTCAACTATCAAGGGACAGGGTTAGCCCTACACTATTGTGATTTCTTGTCGTTACTCAAGTTAAAGTTTATATTATAAGATTTCTCATGTTGAAGTTTGTGTTAACTTTTTACCCGAGACTTTGTGGCTATCAAAACAAAAAGATATGACATATTACGAAGTATAAAAGCTTCTCAGGTATATGTCATAAATTTCTTTGTTTATTATAGTTATAACTTTTTAGTGTATATGCAAGCAACTCAAAAATATAATAAAACAGAAGTAATAGTATTCAATGCACACGTAAAAATGTTTTTGAAGGAATCATGTAAGTTAAACAATTTTTTTATGGTCACCCATTGATATATAATGATTGTTTAGTATTATTTAATGATTGTGGAAAACTGAAATTACAACGTCAAAATATCTTTATTTAATAATTATAAAAAAAAAGTTTTATTTGTATTCATGAAATTAATAACCTCGCTTAATTAAAAAAAAATAAAAACATTCTATCATTGATTTTAAAAGATTAGGATTATATGTGTTAATGTCAAACTATTATTTTGCTAAATAAAAACTTGAGTTATAAAAGTTCAGTTAAAAAATTCAAACATATTTATTTATCATATAATTGGATGCTGTAATGTTCATTAATATCTATGAAACATTATTATGTCACAATTACCATGAAATATGACAACCATAATGACGTTTATTTTACAGAATTAAGGCAAATTATCATGTTATGAGATAGTGTTTATTCTAAAGTTAGTTTTCAATTTAAAACTTTTGTGTGTTGACTTATAATGTTGAAGTTACCATAAAAATTTCAATTAAAATATCTGATAGAATAAGTTAATTAATAAAATTACCTTCACAAAGTTTATGAATTAAAATTTACTTACATCACATGTTTGTTAAAATTTTCGAAAAGCTATAAATTTATACTGTCTTTATCATTCATAAGACTATTCCATAATAGACAGTTTACATCACATGATTTTACTTAAAAGTAATTATAAATTAACATAATAAATAAACTTTGTTATATTTTTTCGACAATATATGTCTGGTAACTAGTTTTAAACAGTGAAAATTTGACAAATATAAAGAAAACATTTTATTACAATAAACAAATCGTTTTTACACAAATATGAATAGTTGATATTTATGTAATTGAAATTATTTATTAATCTCAACTTTATTAAAATACGAACAACTTAGGGCATTTTATAAATTAACACTACATTGACATTTTAATGAGAGTTGCTATTATTAATCGTATTACCCGTACATCACAATGCTTAAATTATTTTATATTATACTGTACAAAATAATAATAATAATAAAAAAAATATTGAATTTTCCATCGTTCAACAAATAAATTATTTTTAACTCTGCGAAGACTCTTAATGTCATAAAAAGAATAAGTCACTTTGTTGTGTTGTTCCGGAAGATTCACGGAGTTGATGGCATATCCTCGTCAGGTCGCTGGCCAGTCTGTTGATGTCGGTGTCCGACGATCGACGGTGGCCAGCACTTTTCGACTGTCACACGTGCAGTTCCTCCACCGTTTTCACCGCTTCCGAAGTTGTAGGCACTATGGGTTGGGCCACATTAATGCATGTGCAAGCCGGTATCGCTGTCTGACCATGCCGCCTAAGAGTACCACTATGCTGATGGTGATGGTGATTGTGATGATGATGATCCGGGCGAGGACACTTTGGCGGTGGTGGTGGTCGAGGCAACGTGGCCGCACCACCACCGGTCCCCCCGTGATAATTTTGAGTGACGTCGGCGAATTCGACAGGTGGCAGTTGAGAGGGCCTAGTTAAAGTACTTCCACCATTAACAGAAACACTATGGTGTACCGGCATGACATGCAAATCACCACCGAGATCAGGTGGTGGTGCTGGCTGTGGTGAGGAAGCTAGTGGTTTTTTGAGGATCGAATGAGGTTGTTTTTGAGATGCAGCCGTTCGACTTTCCATCATTTGTAGTAATTCTGTAGCACCTTTATGACAAAAAAAGTTATTACAAAAAAATTAAACAACATCTATAAAATAAATTTATTTAATTTTAATAAAGAGTTTTAATTTATGACCCAATTAAAAATATTGCCATTTTTTAGCAGACAAAAAACTATTTTATTGATCGCAACCATTTGTTTATGAAAAGAGTTGTTTCGTGTCATTTATTACTATTATATTAAATAAGTTCATTGAAAAACTGATCCATAATTAACAAGAATGGACAACACGATCATATAATATCTTGAAAGTATGATGGTCTATATTTTCTATGATGTCAAGTTCGATTTTTCTGCTTTAAGTATGGATTGTAAATTATTTATATTAGAGCTGATATTAAAAATAATTTTTGCTTAAATGTATAAAACCCTAGATTAAATGTTTGGTAAAAAATGGTCTCGGGGGAGGAGGCTCTCAGCGATAAAATCAAAATTAGGAGCTTGCATAAATGTCACATTTGCCAATTCCAGGCAAAAACATAATTAATGATTATGTTGAATTGTTTGGGATTTAATATCAGAAACGATACCCAACTAGAATCGGTGTTACCCTTTTATAGTAATTATTTACGACACCGAAACGATACTGAGTCTCTATACAATAATATTATTTAAAATAATTTATAATGTAGCAGGGGCTCGTAAATAATTCGTGTAATAATATTAACCAACAATTTGAGTGAGTAATAAACGTTATTAAAAAACAAATTCACTTAACGTTCCAGTTTTGAAGTTGATGGATAAAAAAAAAAAATGCACATTAAAATTATTTGTGATACTATTTTCTGAACAACTGACAATAACGCTAAAATGTTGGTTAGTTTTTAAATTTTAAGTCATGAAATGTCAAAATACGTTGCCCAATATTTCATGTTTTATTGTTTTCCCCAAATAACGTGATACGGATTTGCATTGAAATAATCTTAAAATATTTACCTCCAGTCGAACATAGATTAGTCATTGGTCCACCATTTTCTGGTCTTTTCATATTTTTTATCTTGTCATTCTGTCTACCATCTTCGTCGTCATCTGCAGTATTTCGACTTCCACGACGGCCACCATTACCCCCAGTTGATTTGTTGTAGTAAATGACAGCGAATATCATAATATTGAGAAATAGCAGCGAACATCCAATGCCTATAGCTACTGCCAATGCCAACGGGAACGAGGCATAACCTGGTGTTCCAGCTCCGCTAGCACCGCCATCGTCCTGCCCTTCAGGTGAAGTAGACCGATTGTCCTCTTTATCACCAGAAGCTGCATCTTTGAGCTGTCGTTCATCGTCGACTTCGCCGCGATCCGATGAAGAGGAAGACGCTACTACAACCGGTGGTGGCTGTAAAACTGTAGTTGTGGTGGTGTTCTCAGGAATGGAAACACTTCCGGCATTCACTAAAGTTTTGTTGCCACCCATGTGTTGTACAACTATTGGTGGCTGTCCGCCTCGGAAGTAAGATTCCGGAAACCTAGTGGTCCGTTCCGTACCCTAAGTAAATAATTAGTTTAATTATGAGCTTTAAAATAAGAAAGTTTAATATTAAATAAATAGAATTGTTATTTGTTTTAAAAAGAAACAATACCAAGTAAATGATGGTTTTTTTTCACGCGGAATAACTTTAATAGTATTATTTTTAATTATTTATTCATTTATGAATACCAAACAGCTTAGAAAAAATGACACTTGTATCTCATCATTGAATCATCAATTCATTGAATATAAACCACGAGGCTTGAAAAACAATTGTAACTAATAATTAACTGCAATGGTTTTTTATCATTATAACTCATAACATAATATATTTATGTATTTTAAAATAAAATTATAGAATTTTCGAAATAGTCTCAGAAAAATGAATTTTAATATCGACATTAATTATCAGACTGTAAACTATTATGCAAAATTAACATTTCTGTAGTGATAAGAATGAAATATTTACAATTTTAAAATCACACTATCAGGAAATGCTAAATTGCTAAATGCCTATAAATTATGTTCTTAATGTTTGGTTCGTTAGTGAACTTATTCCTTTGAAATATACCCGTCGCTTTATTTAAGAATAAGCTGCTGCGGACTAAGAATGTGTGCCAATGAAGCTTAGACAACTAACTTTAGCGTACTACCATCTGCAAACACTTCTAAACAAATATATAATTTACGATAAGTCTTTGGTAGATCCTCTTATTATTTATAGTTCAATCTTGAATAAAATAAGAAGGGATTCAAATACATAAATTGCAAGAGTATAGGGTAATTTTCTCAGTGTGGACAATATTTCCTTATTTGCCTAGTAGAATTATCCAATGTAAAAGTATACATTTATTAGTTTCCAAAATACTTCTAAACAAAAAAACTACCAACTGCACCATTTCGTATTGTTTAGTTTTTATTAACTTTAAAATAAACAATACATTAATTAGATATCAATATTTAAGTTTAATTAATTTGTATCATTCAAATGACTTATAAAATCATTTTATTAATAATTTTCTACAGAAAAAAAGAAAAACATATTTTTAGGTATTACCAACATACAATATATTGTATTTATTTCATAAAAATATTTTAAAGTTAGTTTTTGTGTATTTATTAGTACACCTTTTATACGTGAAAAAAATTCACCGAATAAAAGATATTGGATTATTTCTTGTTAAAAATGAAATTCCACTGTGTATTCTTATACAGCAATATCATTTGGAATCTATAGTATGTCAAATTATATTGGAATTTATAAGAATATAATGTGAATTATTAAAAAAAAAACGTTTTCCCTAATATTGTACATTGTAGACATTGTTAGAGCATCAAATCAAAGCAAATACTTTAAACATGACATTTTAAATATGATTTATTTTTATGATAACTTTTTAGTTACTTGTACTTTGAAATTGTTGAAATTTCAATAACATTATGATAAGATTTATATATATTTTATAAAAAATTGAACTTTAAAAGAAACTTTTTAAAAGAATATAATTTTGTGGAATTTAATAAAATCAAATTATGTAAATAAATTATGGGAATACTATTAAAATATTTTTAAATTGAATAACAATGGAATTGATAATTTTTTTATGTATTAATTTTATAATAGAAAACACCGTTAATTGTCAAATACTCACAGGCTTAAAGGTCATCATTTGTAAATCTGACTGAAACATGTGATGAGAATACGGAACATCTTCTCCTGGTTTATGTAACTCAGGTACTAAATTTAACCAAAATGATAACCTGTGTGCCCTGTAGTGACTCTTTAATTTCGGTTTCGTATCTAAAATATAAATTATAAATAATAATTTAACAACTCAATGTCTGGAGAAATAATTTCTCCAAACATTCTGAAATAATATATACCAAGACTCAAGTATTTCTTATGAACAGTTTCATAGGCTGTCCATTCAATATTTTTAAATCGACCATGTTCTTGTTTATGTAACATATCTTGATCTTGAGGTTCATTAGGGTTCCTTTGAAAATAAGTGAATAAAATTACTATTATTTATTTATTCATTTTGAATTATATTTAATATTTTTACTAACATAAAATTACATTTATTTATTACATTCAATCTATAGAAAAAATATTAATACCTTTCATCTAGTTAGGAAACCTAGTAAGAAAAACTTTCTTAAAAAAATAAGAAAGGCGTTTTCAGTTATAGAGTAGAAGTGTTTTGCTCGGATATTAAAAATGATGAATTTCAAAAAATTCATATTATTAAAATATGTCATACCAACATCAATACTATCAATGAACAAGCATTGTCTCGATAGATCTATGACCTACATCATAAAGAGTGATAATGTAGAGAGTTAAATGACGCATTTAAGGATATTACTATGATAATAATGGATGTAATAAGTGTACATAGTGCGATATTACACTTCATATTTATGGTGTGAGATAGTGTTTTTTTACTAAATTTTATGTAAATAAAGTATAATACTTACCCTGTACGGGCAAAATTGCTCCAGTAAATAACCGCAGCTTCGGATAGCAGGATTTCTGACTTGGTGTAATTTCTCGGAAAATGCATCAATCCACCCACTAAAGGAGCCCCAAATATGTAAGGCAACTCTTCCCCGTGGACACAGCCTTGTCTCTGAAAAAATGTAATGATTGTCATTTGTTTGAATTTACACTTCGTTACTTAATAATTTAAAGATAAATAACTGCGCTGACTACATTATCATTTCACAGAGAGACGTCATTTGTACTTTTTAGGTTTACTCAATAAAACTGAAAAATAACCTTTTCATAATTTATTTTTAACATATATTTCTAAAAAATTATTCTTACAAAGAAAACTAATAGTTACACATACATAGTTCTTACATTGTTAAAATACAATAGGTGTCCTCTTGTTTCCGTGTATGATTTCGAGGAAATTCAAAATTAAACAGGAAAACTGACAATAAATAAATACGGATAACAATAATGTATGCCTTGTGAGGATTGTCGGTGAAATACACCCGTATTGAAAAAATTATCCAATTATGCTATTGGAATAATTGTGTGTATGGGTAATTTTAAGTATTATTTATTATGCATAAATCATAACAATGTACGAATTCCCATGAAATATATTGTATATTTTTTGTATTGCAAATGTTTTACCACAGTTACCAAATATTGACGAGTATTGTATAACTTTAGTTAATCCAAAAAAAAAAAAAAAATTACTTGGAACGATTCCACGATCACGGCCTAAGTATAATCGATTGGGGACAATACTTACACATGCCACACGAGCTCGCTAATAATTTATAGGAAGTGCCAGATAACACTGTTATAGCTTACGGAAATACCAATGCAATCGTAGGGGCACCGAGAAGGAATGGTACTTATTGGAATTTTGAAATTATATTAGCGCAGTGTTATCTTCGTTATCCGCGATGAGCCTTGAAGCGGAGAATAGCACTACGACAAGATAACGGTAACAGGATGAAACCGTAATACTCTTGTACATAGCAACAACAGTATTAAGATACAGGTCCATTTTTTTGCATAGAGTAAAATTTACATTTTCATCGTACGCGTTCTAGTATTTCTCCAAGAGATTTTACGCTTTTATTTATTTTTTTAAAGACAACCGTGGTTTTGTACCGGTAATTTTCATTCTTTTGTACCATTGCGATGATGCTCAAAGGTTTTTCCGGAAGTTCGTTATGAAACCGCATAATAAACTAGTGCGTGCCAAACTTATTCGGGCAGAAAGGCTCAAAACGATTATTATTTTATTTGTTTTTTTTTTAATACACTTTATTTTACTTTTGGCAATACCGCGTTTTGGCCACTAACGAAAAAAAAAAAAAAGAAATACATAATTTTTTGTATTATTCGTTTAAAATATCGCGAAATATAATTTTAATGTAATCGCCTAAAATGAAGTTTATTTACCTATAAATATATTTTTACTAACACAATATTTTGTTAAGATTTATTCAATAATTAATTCATTAATATTTAACGTAGTTTCATTTTACACTGTACGCTGAAAATGAAAACATCAGAATACATATTTTTTATTGTTTATTTCTTGTTGTAACTGACTATTTACTTTACAAATATAAAATTTCGAAATGTTATTATAATTTAAAGACTTTTGAAATTATATATAATGTAAATATATATTATTATAACTAAATAGGTCTAAAAAATAAAATGATTTTTCTGGGAAAAAAGGTTTCATTTGACATGGAAATAATGGAAATTTCAACGTAAGCCTTTTTTTTTTTGTAATGGAATTATTCTTTATAATACACTACTGAATATATGTAGTATAAAAGGAACGACGTTTTCTTCGTATGAGAGGAAAATTGTAATTTGTGGTAAGTGTATGAATTCTTTATTGCAACGTACATAAAATCATTATTTTTTAATGGAGACAAATTATGTCAAAGAAAAATATTAGTTACATTCTGAAATTAAAACATCATTTTTTTCGTTTTTTCTCGTCGTCTGTTTGTATAAGATGTAAATATTTACATAGACGATATAAAAAAAATCACTATTTCGGTATACCCGGCATTTAATCCAATTACAATTGTTGTTTATTTACTAAACAATATATTTTTTATTTAGAAGAACTGAATAGGAGAATAGTGTTAACGTTTAAAATTGAAAAATATCATATGCTTTCAATAAAATTCTATTATTATTTTTTATTTTCATTGGTGTGTACTGGATGAGTTGAATTTATTAAGTATTCTGAACTTATTAAAGCATTCGAAGTTATAAATTATAATTGATTATGTTTGTTCGAAGCGTCGATTCATATAGATGCAGGTTATAAAATAAATATGTCAACATCCCTCTGTAATACGTATACAACTTTGAAGTGACACTTCCAACTTATTTATGGTTTGCCATTAACTGAACGACAAACTAACATTTTTATAAAAAAATGTTATTATTCTTAGTTTATTCCTCGATTATTCCATGTTTTTTTTCTTAATGTCATTAGTCAAACTTAAATATTACTGTATTTTATCTTTTATGGTAGTTATAATATTTGATTCACACGTATAATGTTAATTTATTGATTAAAGTGTAATATTATTGAAAAAATACAGTTTTTACTAAAACAAAAACAATAATTAATTAGATAATTTAGTAACGTATTATTTAATGTTTCAAGATGTTATTATCTATTCTAAATAATAAATGAACTGTATTAAAAGGATTTTCTTTTATTCTTTGCATTTTTTGTAATGTATTATGTAGTCTATAGGTCCAATAATATAGATAACTTTTATTGTTATTATTATTACTACTAAATCACAAAGAGTATCCACTTTGTCGAATTGCCATCATATCCTTTTTAGTTTAGATGGCAAAAGCCGAGAAGATAAAACGGACGGGGAGATGGAATAGAAGAAATATAAAGAATAGAATGAACCGGAAGCCACGATTTTCATTTTTTTTTTACTCAGTCTCATTTTTTCACGTTAGTACATTTTATTCATGTGGTTCGGGTTAAAATTACTAACGAACAATGGGATAACGGCATGAAAACCCGTAAAGATTATTTTTTTCCAATTCTAGTCACTTTGTACCAGGTGTCTTTTAAATGCTTGATGAAAATTATTTTTACTTAACTATGTGTTTAATAGAACAATATTACAGATTGTAGACAAGATGTTTTAATATTTCATTTTATATAAAATGTTTGACATATTATAGTGTACTTTGAAAAATAATTTTCTATGTGATACAATTGGACTAATAACATCAAGATATCAATAGATAATTGGTCAACAATCGCGTTATAAATTATTTTTAATAGATAATGAATTTTTAAACTTAATGAATCACTCTACACCAATCTAATCAATAGATGTTAAGTTTTGACAATAATAAAATAATGAGTTATGAGTTTTATTACATAAAAATATATCTTTTTTTTAAATTTTTACATTCTCTCATTACAAAAGAACATCATTTGAAGTATTTATAAATGTATTCACACGTACTAACATTTATTTAGACTTGGTATAAAACATAGAAGATGTAAATAACATTTTTCTGTCAAATAAAATTTAATATTAAGACTTTGTTATTTTTGAAACTATAATTTTTAAAAAGGATATAAATAAATTGCAGCTCGACATGTTATTTACGAATTCGGAGACAGTTGAATTCCGTTCCTTTGGTTCAACATACAAATAAATTATGGTCTGTGTATTTTATTTTATGACAACAAATCTTTATTGTTTGATTGCTTAAAAACTAAGTTTTAGTCCTTTCATTTCATTTAATTATCTAAAAACTCACCATTACTCTACGAGTACTACTTTTTAGGTAGTTTTGTTTATAGGTATTTTTGAGTATGTTTATTTTATATCATATAAAAAATAAAACCATTCCGAATAATTCAAGCAGGATTTCATAAATTTGTCTATTCTTATAAACAAAATTATTAGAACGGAATGATGAATAAAGTAAATAATGTAGTCAAGACTACATTATTAACTACACTTAATTTAATAGTATTTTCTATGTTGAAAATGTAAATCTGATACAATCAAACAACAGTTGACCGAGTTCTGTCAGTTCAAATTTTGTACTGCACTAATACAAATCAGATATCGCTGATTTGAATTGTCACATAAAATTCATTTCAGTAGAATGTTAGGAGTACATGTGCCACGACAATACTACCTTAATATAGAAAGCACTGCTATCACATTATAATGTACAGGTAGGGTACAGATAGCGTGTGGCAAAAGAATCCACCTCGCACGTGAGTCGAATATGCCATACCCTTCAAACATCCTTGTGCAATGTACGATGACGACACCCCCCCGAAAGTATAATGAATATTTTCGCGGACGTGTCAGCTTTTTGCGCCAGTGCCGTCACCACCGTGAAAATCCTTTTAGTCACACTCGGTGTCATCTTTATCTCCTCTACCCGTAGCTGATTTATAGTGTCTGTGCGATAAAAATAAACAGCAACTCGTGTTACGTTGTAATAGTTAAATAGCGTTTGTATAATAATAAAAAGTGTAAACGAATTCGCGTGGTCGTCAAATAATACCCTTCTCTTACTCACTTGACAATAAAATTTTATTTTCTGTCCGAGCGTTTTAGGCCATTCTGAAAATTGAATTCACGATTACCATACACGTACACACTTCCAAGTGAATACACATAGTGTTCTTAAAAGAACGAAACCTGACCGCCACCCTCCCTTTGGTCGTTATAACAAAATGTCCCCCGGGGTACTCAGTTCGGTCACATATCCCTCTGTTTAGTACCAAAGGGTCAGTCTTTAGGTTTAGTTATACTTTATAGCGACAGCTATTTCACATCAATTGTATCATAATTGTTATGATAGTAGCGTATTTAACGTATTGCTAGTGATACTCCTTAACAGCATATGGTTTCTATTTTTTAAACTATTTTTTTCCACGTTAATGAAATATTTGAAGTAAAAAGAGTAGCTTAACATGAGCAAGTTTAAATAAATGTTTTTCATAATTATAACGTTAGACATTACTTTTTTTGCACATAACCTATTTTAAAAACAAAATATTAAACCGCAACTTTTAATAAATTATTCATTAGGATGTAATTTAAAACAGATTTTAGGTAGTCT